GTATGCAGAGAAGGGAACTCTCCTACACTGTTGGTGGGAATGTAAATTGGTGCAGTCATTCTGGAGAACAGTATGGAGGTTCCTTAAAAAACAGAGCTACCATATATATGACCCTGCAATCCCACTCCTGGGCATATATCCAGAGAAAAACATGATCCTAAAGGATACATGCACCCCAATGTTCATTGCAGCACTGTTTACAACAGCCAAGACACAGAAGCAACCTAAGTGTCCATTGAGAGAGGAATGGATAAAGAAATGTTATGTATGTACTAGGAATATTACTCAGCCATTAAAAAGAATGAAATAATGCCATCTGTAGCAACATGGACAGACCTAGAAATGGTCATAGTGAGTGAAGTAAGTCAGACAGAAGAGAAATATCGCATGACATTCCATATATGTGGAATCTAAAAAGAAATGATACAAACAAACCTACAAAACAGAAAGAGACTCACAGAGAAAGAACTTATGGTTGCCAGGGGGAAAGAATAGTTAAGGAGTTTGAAAAAGACATGCACACTGTGCTATATTCAAAACAGATAACCAACAAGGACCTACTCTATAGTATATGGAACTCCACTCAATGTTATGTGGCATCCTGGATGGGAGGGGAATTTGGGGGAGAATGGATACATATATACAGATGGCTAAGTCACTTTGCTGTCCACCTGTAACATCACAACATTGTTAATCAGTTATACTCCAATACAAAATAAAAAGTCAAAAATAAATAAATAAAATAGATAACCAACAAGGACCTACTGCACAGCACATGGAACTCTGCTCAATAGTCTAATAGACTAAATGAGAAAAGAAATTTAAAAAGGGTAGATATATGTATATGTTTAACTGAATCACTTTGCTCTTCACCTGGAACTAACACAACATTGTTAATCTACTATACTCTAAGGTAAAATCAAAAACAAAAAGGACCTCAATTAAACTCAGAAGCTTTTGCACAGCAAAGTAAACCATAAAAAGACAACCCACAGAATGGGAGATGTTTGCAAATAACATGACCAACAAAAGATCAATCTCCAAATTTTGCAAAGAGCTCATGCATCTCAATTAAAAAAAAACAAACACCCAATCAAAACACAGGCAGTCTAAAAAGACTTTTCTCCAAAGACGACATACAGATGTCTACTAAGAGGTACATGAAAAGATGCTCAGTATCACTAATTATTAGAGAAATGCAATCAAAACTACAATGAGGGCTTCCCTGGTGCCTCAGCGGAAAAGAATCTGCCTGCCAAAGCAGGAGACACCAGTTTGATTCCTCGTCCAAGAAGATTCCCATATGCCTTGGAGTAGCTAAGCCCATGCTTCGCAATGTTGAGCCTGTGCTCTAGAGCCCGAAAATCATGACTAATGAGCCCACGTGACTCAACTCCTGAAGCCCGAGTGCCCTATAACCTGTGCTCTGCAACAAGAAAAGCCTGCACACCAGAATGAAAGAACAGACCCGGCTCGCAGCAACTGGAGAAAAGTCCATGCAGCAAAGAAGATCCAGGACAGTCAAAAAATAAATAAGATAAAAAAATAAAGTTCTTAAAAAAAAAAAGAAAAAAACCTACAATGAGATATCACCCCACACCAATCAGAATGGTGAGCATCAAAAATTCTACAAAAAATAAGAACTTCCCTAGAGGTCCAGTGGTTAAGACTCCAGGTTTCCAAAGCAAGTGGCATGGGTTGGAACCCTGGTTGGTCAGGGAACTAAGATTCCCACATGACATGACATACAGCACAGACAAGAAAACACATTAAAAGAAAAAAAATCTACAAATAGGGGCTTCCCTGGTGCCTCAGTCAGTAAAGAATCTGCCTCCAATACAGGAGACCTAAGTTCCATCCCTGGGTCAGGCAGATCCCCTGGAGAAGGAAACAGCAACCCACTCCAGTATTCTTGCCTGAGAAATCCCATGGACAGAGGAGCCCGGCGGGCTACAGGCCATGGGGCTGCAAGAGTTGGACGAGACTTAGCCATGAAGCCACTCATATACTTTCCTAAAACAGAAGTTACAATAAAATGCTTTTTTAAAAAACTACAAACAATAAATGCTGAGGGTGGGAAGAAAACGGAAACCTCCTACACTATAGGTGGGAATGTAAACTGGTGGAGCCACTATGGAGAACAGTATAGAGGGTCCTCAGAAAACTATAAAAAGAACTACCAGGATTCTGCAATCCCACTACTTGGCATCTACCTGGAAAAACACTCAGTTCAAAAAGATAGAAGCTGGTTTCTGTGTCTGCGTCTCCACTGCTACCCTGCAATCAGTTTATCAGTACCATCTTTCTAGATTCCATATACATGTGGTTAAGATATTTGCTTTTCTCTCTCTGACTTAAATCACTCTGGCTAAATCATGTTGATGTATGGCAGAAATCAAACTAACATTGTAAAGCAGTTATCTCTGAATTAAAAATAAAATAATTAATTTTAAAATATAAGAGAAAAAAATAATAATAATAAAATATAAGAGGAAAAAAAATGCAAACGAAAAAATAAAGGTAGAAGCCTAGGGCTTCCTTGATGGCTCAGTAGTAGAGAATCTGCCTGCCAATGCAGAGGACAAGGGTTCGATCCCTGGTCCAGGAGGATCCCACCTGTGGCAGAGCAACTAAGCCTGTGCACAACTACTGAGCCCGTGCTCTAGAGCCCGGGCGCCGCAGCGATGGGAGAAGCCACTGCAATGAGAAGTCTGTGCACAGAACTAGAGAGTAGCCCTCGCTTGCCGCAACCAGAGAAAAGCCTATGCAGCAATGAAGACCCAGCACAGCCAAAACAGTGAGTGAGTGAAAGTCGCTCAGTCGTGTCTGACTCTTTGCGACCCCATGGACTATCCATGGAATTCTCCAAGCCAGAACACTGGAATGGGTAGCCTTTCCCTTCTCCAGGGGATCTTCCCAACCCAGGGATCGAACCCAGGTCTACCTGAACTGCAAGCGGATTCTTTACCAGCTGAGCCACAAGGGAAGCCCCCAAAATACTGGAGTGGGTAGTCTTTCCCTTCTCCAATGGCTCTTCCTGACCCAAGAATCGAACCAGGGTCTCCTGCACTGCAGGCGGATTCTTTACCAACTGAGCTATCAGGGAAGCCCCTGACACAGCCAAAAATAAATACATAAAAAACTAAATATGTTAAAAAAAAAAAAAAACTTCTCTGAAATTTGTGTTTTTTGTAAAAACAAAAAATAAATTGTTTTTTCTAAAAAAAAACAAAAAAGATACAAGTGGGACTTCCCTGGAAGTCCAGTGGTTAAGACTCAGAGATTTCACTGCAGGGGGCTGGGGTTCTATCCCTGGTCAGGGAACTAAGATCCCATATAATGCACAGTGCAGCCAAAAATAAATAAATAGGGACCTCCCTGGTGGCCCAGTGGCTAAGACGCTGTGCTCCCAATGCAGGGGGCCTGGGTTTGATCCCTGGACCAGGAACTAGATCCCACATGCTGCAATTAAAATATCCCTTGAGCAGCCAAATAAACAAATAATAATAATAAAAAAATTAAAATAAATAAATAAACACATGTACGCCAATGTTCACTGCAGCCCTGTTTATAATAGCCCAGACATGGAAGCAATGTAAGTGTCCACCGACAGATGAATAAACAAGATGTGGTGTGTATACACACACACTGGAGTATCACCCAGCCATTAAAAAGAATGAAATAATGTCACTTGCAGCAACATGGATGGACCTGGATATCATCATGCTAAGTGAAGAAAACCAGACAGAAAAAGACAAATACTAAAAGCACAAGCAACAAAAGAAAGAGTTGATAAACAGCACTTCATTAAAATTTTTAAACACTGTGTGTCAAAGGACACTATGAAGAACATGTAAAAACAATCCATAATATATAGGAGAAAATATCTGTGTATCATATAGGTGACACATATTTTTTAGATTCCATATGGGGAATCTAAAAAAAAAATGATACAAGTGAACTTATTTACAAAACAGAAACAGACTCAGGCTTAGAAAACACTTTGAGTTAGGAAAGGGGAAAGGTGGAAGGGAGGGATACATTGGGAGTCTGGGACTGAGATATACACACTATCATATTTATTATTTGTTAAATTTGAACTTTTTCTTTTGTATTGCATGTGTGCCTGCTTAGTTGCTTCAGTTGTGTCCAACTCTTTGCGACCCTATGGACAATAGACCAACAGGCTCCTCTGTCCAAGAGGATTCTCCAGGCAAGAATACTGGAGTGGGTGGCCATGCCCTCCTTCAGGGATCTTTCCCACCCAAGGATCAAACCCACATCCCCTGCGTTGCAGGTGGATTGTTACCTACTGAGTCACCTGGGAAGCCCCATTTGTACTGAGGTATAGCCAATTAACAAGCAATGTTGTGGCTGTTTCAGGCGAACAGCAAAGGGATTCAGCCATCCGTATACATATATCCATTCTCCCCCAAACTCCCCTCCCATTCAGGATGCCACATAACCTTGAGCAGAGTTCTATGTGCTACAGGAATGTGTCCTGCTAGATTTAAAATGGATAACCAACAAGCACCTACTGCATAGCACATGGAACTCTGCTCAATATTCTCTAATAGCCAAAATGTAGAAAGAATTTCAAAAAAGAGTAGACACATGCACATATACCTGAATCACTTTGCTGCACACCAGGAACTAACACAACGTTGTTATTCAACTAATACTCCAATATAAAATAAAAACCAGGGACCTTCCTGGTGGTCCAGTGGCCAAGACTCCAGCGCGCTCCCAACGAAAGGGACCCAGGTTCAATCCCTGGTCAGAGAACTAGATACCCCAAATCACAACTAAAAGACCCTGCATGCCTGCAACTAAGACCTGGTGCAGCTAAACAAATAAACAAAAAATAAAATGAAATATTTTTTTAAATAAAGCGAGTGGAAATAATATTACAGTGAAAACCTGAACTACAGTTGGTACACACGCCCCCTAAACGGCACCCCGTCTCCCCACCACTCGCGGGGCCCGCTCGGCGTCCTCACCCACGTCCATCCACTCGGGCGGGAGCAGCCGACACTTCTGTCTCTGCTTCAGGTTGACCGCCAGCCACAGAGGAACCTGCACCGGTAGGCCGGGGTTGAAAGGCCCCAGGTCGCCCTGCAAACATACACGCACACCCCGTCACTCACAAGTGTAGGGCTTGGACCTCCGCCGTTCACGGGTTGACGCCCTGCGCGGTCTCGGCCGGCCCCGCGCCCCGCCGCCCATCTGCACAGGTTCCCCAGCCCCGCCCGACTACACTTGCGGGCCCTGGGCCCCGACAACCCCGCCCCCCGGGAGCGGGAGCCCACCAGAGCGAGCCGGAGGCCCGGCGGTTCTCACCCCGATGAGGTAGATCTTGTCCAGGCTGAAGTTCGGGATGATGGTGACCAGCTCCTTCTCGGCCAGAAACTCCACCTCCGCTGCGTCCATGGCGTCGCCAGCTTCCAACCCGGGACTCGCCGCCGCCGCCTCAGGTCCCTCAGCTTCCGAGAAAACACCGCTGTGTCCGCCGCTTTCCCGCCACCGCGCAGAGCCCGCCCCCTGGCCGGAAGGAGCCTCAGCCGGCCTATAGAAAGCCGGTGCTCTAGGTGGGGCGGCGGAAGGCGGGGAGAGCGACTGTTACGAGCCCGCGGATTGGCGAGCTTAAACGTGTCTGCGAGTGGGTCCCGCCCCCCTCGCGGTAGGCCCCGCCCTCCCCTGTGTCCGGTCCCGCCCCTCCCGTGCACAGCTCACCTGGAACCGCCGGCTCACCTGCACCTAGAACGGCCCTTTGTGTCCCTTCACGAGCCCCGGGCGCCTGCCCTCACACACCGCGGGTCAAACTGGGGGTGGGTAGGCTTCGGGGCCGGCAGTTGTTGTTCAGTGGCTCAGTCGTGTCCGACTCTGCGACCCCATGGACTGCAGCGTGCCAGGCTTCCCTGTCCATCACCATCTCCCCGAGTTGGCTCAAACTCATGTCCATTGAATCGGTGATGCCATCCAACCATCGCATCCTCTGTCGCCGCCTTCGGAGCCAGGAGTTAATGCATATAATTGGTCACGGTTGAAACCTGGCTACAGAAACGCGGGACCCCACCCCACCGACCCACCCACCCAAGCAGAGTGAGGGAAGGCGTTGTTTCCTTTAAGTTAACAATCTGATGGCCTCTCTGTACACGGGGTAACATCTATAAAAATGTAGATTCCTTCATTGCACCCACATATTCCAATTCAGAAACTGCTGGAGGAAAGGCTCAGAACCTGCACTTTCACAGTCTCCGCAGGTGAAACCTGTGAAGGGGCGAGTTTGCAAATAGCATTGGTGAGTTCGGCTCTTGACTGTGGTTGGTCCGGGTGCCCTCTATAGAGTGGGTTCACGGGAACCGTTGCAGCAGTGGTTCTCAGGCCCTCCTCTGGCAGCATCCCTTCCCTACCCTCCCTCACTCTTCCCCCAGAAATGCCCAGTGTTGACGTGCACGCTCCCGCAGACTTCTGATTCAGTGGTCTGGGTGAGGATAGAGGACTGACCTCTAACCAAGGTCAGGGGGATTCCAGTGGGGTGATGATAAGCCAGGAGAGCTTCCACCTGAGGTGAAGCAGCTAGAGGAGGACTGGGGTTGGGGGGGGATGCTGAATTTGACAGCATTATCTTTAGGTTCCAAGAAAAAGCATATGTGACAGGAGGATTTCAGGGTTCTAGATCCCTTCAGGAAAGCTCCCTCACCCCAAAAAACACACACACACTTTCCTGTCTAACCATCCAGAAAACTGCCCCATGTCAGGTTGTTGGGAAGATGAAATAAAGCCATCATCCAGTTCTGCCAATTTACATGGTCTGGAAAGCGGTTTGTTGTTTATCTGCGTAGGAAATGATCATGATGAGCCTGGAGATTTCCTTCATTGTGTCATTTACGAAGATAAATACTTTCCAAGAAAATAAAAGATCCCTCGGGATGCTGTGTAACCGAGAGCAAGTAACCACTCTGAACGTCTGTCTCTTCATCTGCAAGAAAGGTAGGAAGCTGAGTCGCCAGGGTATTTGGGGAAAAGGGGGTGGCAGGCCACCTGGCCCCTCCTAAAATAGAAGCTCCCTCAGGCATCTGCAGACAGTGTGTGCCAACTTGTCTGGGTTTTGATTGATGGGGCAATGTTTCCTGGACTGGCAAATATTTGCGTTTCAAAGTTGGAGAGGCTTCCCTCCCTGATTTCCGCAGACTGTAAAAGCGCAAAGGAAAAGAGCTGGTGGGAGAGCGGAGGTTCAGGGAGGCTGTGGCGGGATCACGAGTGCTAGCAGAGCCCAGTATCCTGGTGTCCTATCTGTGAACGTGGCGACGTGCCTCACAGGGTTGTAGACAGAACGAGATAAAGCGGGTGTGGCTTTTCACACTACGAAATGGTGGCATCTTGGAGCCTCAAACTTGAGCAGACACCAAGGTCCTTCAGTTCAGTTCAGTCTCTCAGTCGTGTCCTACTCTTTGTGACCCCATGGACTGCAGCACGCCAGGCCTCCCTGTCCATCACCAACTCCCGGAGTTTACTCAAACTCATGTCCATTGAGTCAGTGATGCCATCCAACCATTTCATCCTCTGTCGTCCCCTTCTCCTCCCACCTTCAATCTTTCCCAGCATCAGGGTCTTTTCAAATGAGTCAGTTTTTCGCATCAGGTGGCCAAAGTATTGGACATGTATTGGACAAACATTGGACAAGTATTGGACAAACAAGTATTGGCTAAGGTATTGGCCAAGGTCCTTGGGGGGCTTCTTAAAGCAGCAGGATTCACAACAGCCAAAAGGTGGAAACCACCCAGGTGTCCCTGCTCTCCCGTGGTCCCTGGGGACTGGCGGGGAAGCAGTGACTTGCTGCGGGTGGCGTCTCACAGCTAGGGAGGTGGCTAGAATCACAGTCATGGAAGCAGAAGGGACATGCAGAGCAGAAAAACACCTCCTCCTGAAACTCTTCCCTCAGCCCAGCTGAAAGGGGCCCTTGGGATGGTACCCGCTAAGGAAAAAGACTCCTTCACTACCTGGGACTCTCTAAGGTCTCCGAGGCAGGGCTGATAGCATGACCCCTGCAGGCCTGACTCCCCTGCTGTTTCTGGCCACTGGCAAATTCTCCGGGTGGGGCCCAACCGCTCCAACTGGTACCTATTCCAACCTTCACCTCCTAGAGCCCTCGGGAGGCCGGGAGGGAATGACTGATGTAGGCGAAGTTCACAGATGCGTCTGGCCCAGCTGTGCAGACAGCCGTGGTTCCTGCGCCCGGCAGCAGGGCTGGCTCTGCTCACGACAGCCCTCAAGGTGTCCTTCTCCCTGCTGAGTGCGGTGGTGAGTGAAGCAGGAAAGACAGACAGCTCCGGTTCTCCAGGGCCGCTGTCTAAGCTGCTCCCCAGAACCTGACCAGATCCTGAGTGGGCCGGGTGAGAGATGCAGGTCAGGGAGCGATGTGAATGGATAAGCAGTTTACAGAAAGAGAGCTCCATGGGGCGGAGTGGGGGTGGGACCCAGTCCACCAGCAGGAGAATCACGGCTGTCTAGCGATAGCACCGAGGGCAGCAGCCCAGGGGACCAAGAGGAGGGACGGTCTGAAACCAGAGCCCATGGACTGCCTGCAGGGTCCCGGAAAGCCTGGCCTGGGGAAGCCTCCGGACCCCACCCAGTGGCCACAGGTCTTTCCCAGCTGCCTGTGGCTCCGCACAGCCCAGCAGTGTCCTCCTAATTGCCACCACTGGGCCTGCGAGTCCCTCCCTGCTGCTTGCAGGCCACCAGAGTCTGGCAGGGGAGCCAGCCCATAAGCCGCAGGGCGCACATCACGGCTGAGCCTGGTGGGAGCTCTCAAATGCCTCCGACACGGTGCAAATACACTCTTGTGTCTTTTTGCCATCTGCTGCTGTCATTAAAAAATTACATTTCCATCTGTTTTCACACTTTTCTCCCCTCCCAGCCTCCCCTCCCGGAGGCATACAGCATGAATCCCACGTCGAGGACACGAACGTTCCGTCGCCTCTTGGAGCCTGGGAACATCACGGGGTTAGGGGTAATGGGCTTCATGGGCGACCAGAGCTGTTCATTCCTCCTAGGTCAACATTGACCGTGACCTCTGCCCTCCACACACCAACCCCTCCACACACACTGCGGGAAGCCACTTACAAAGCTTTTTTTTTGTTGCTGGTTTTAATTAGTATGTGTGGCTTTAGCATTAAAAATAAATGGAAAATAAACTGCAAGCATTAGTAACCATTTCCTCTGGGAATGTATTTAAGGAAGAACAGACTCAAGAAATAAGAATCAGGGAGCCATGTCTTGGGCTCAGAAAAAAATTGTCATTCTAGACCAACTCCAACGATGTAACCCCTCTCCCTGACCAACATAGCATGCCTGACCTTTCATGAAGGGTCGAGTCCATGGAGAACCCAGCAACCCCCCCACAAGGTTGCGACCACAGACTTCGCCTGGTGAATCGCCTCAAACACAGCTTTGCAAACATCAGCATAATCGCTGACATTCTAGGTTCCGTATATATTGTCATCTGTTTCATCTTCCCAACAACCTGCTTACTAACTTCTTTTGAAGATGGAGGAAGCTGAGGCTCAGAGTAGATCAGTTAATTATTTTTTTTTAACTGTTGGCTGTGCCCCACATAGCATGTGGGACCTAGTTCCCCAAACAGGGATCGAACTCACTCCCATGCATTGGAAGGTGGAGTTGTAACCACTGGACCGCCAGGGAAGTCCAAAGCTGAGGCTCAGAGAAGCAAAGTAGCTCACTCCAGGTCACCCATCTGACAAAGGGAGCATGGGGATGGATGCGGCAGGCTGGGCGGCAGGCCCTGAGGAAGGCTTCAGGTGGAAGCAGTTTATTCACAAGGCCCTCCTGGGATGCTCCAGGAAGGCGGGAGATCTCCAGGGCCAGTTCTGGTTAAGGAGCAGATTTCTACTGCTGGTCGCTTGGGGCGCAGACCACCCCCACCCCACCCTGCTCCCCACCAACCTGGGGCTCCCAGGGAAGCCTGGCTCCTCACAGTACCAGCACTGCCCCCAGGAGCTGGTTAGAGACGCACAACAGCAGGCCCAGCCCAGACCTCCCCTAACAAAGGGCATCTGCCTTTGAGCCGGCTCCATGCTGACAGCACCTTCATAAAGCACCAGGTCGTCTCAGCGTGCCCTCACCAGCACCAGGGGGAGGAGCAAGGGAGGTGGGGAATGTATCCGCTAACTCCCATCCGTAGTGGGTGAGGGGTACCGCCAGGCAGCCTTGAGAGAGCCCTCAGCCCAGCGGCTCCTGCAGCAGAGGAAGCCCTTGGGCGCTGGAGTAGAACTCTGCCCTCGCACACACACGGGGCTCCATCATGCCCAGGGATGTGGTTCCAGGTGGCCCGCTCCTACCGCCCACCCCACACTCACCCCTCCAGACTCCTTAGGTCCCCTTGGCATTGTACCCATTCCCCAGATGAGCAGAGGCCCAGGGAGGTGGGTGCCCTGCGTGATCATGACCCCCATTTATTGACTGTCTGCTCCATGCCAGGTACCATGTGGGCATTGTACGGAGATCATTTTCCCTAATGCACATGGGCTCGCCACGTGGGAGGTCCTGCTCTCCTCACTTAACAGGTGAAGACAAGATTCAGAGGGGTTGAACAGCTTTCTAAGGTCACACAGCACAGCACAGGGTCTGGCTGACACCCTCGCTGGCATCCACTCCCCCTATTCTTTCTCACACTCCTAAGAAGGAATGCTGGGGGGCTGCAGTGGGGTGCCCTGCCCCCTGCCATCATGCCCCCCAACCTCGCCCCTTCCTCATGAGCAGACAGAGCTAGCTTGAAGGCAGAGCCTTAGGAGCAGTGAGCATTTCACGGGGTTTCTTGTGGCCCGGGGGACAAGTGTCACCAAGAAGGGTCTCCCTCACTCAGCTGGGGTGCATGCCCCATGCTGGCTCTACCAGGAACGAGCCCTTCAGATTCAAGAGGCCCAGAGCCCAGGACTGGTGTGGGTGCCTTGGACCGCAAGGCCTTTCTGCAGGAGACCGAGGGGACCCACCTGGCCGTGCGAGAAAGCCAAACCGGCTCCCCAGGGCTGCGAAGCCTCTGGCCGGCCCTCCACCTGCTTTCCAGCTTGCAGTCCTCTTGCTGTTGCCGTGGGCACGAAAAGCCTGGGGTGAAGTGCCCACTAGCCACGGCAGGTTACCGAGTGGGCTGGAGGCCTCCGAGCAGTACCTAGGAGATGGGGGTGGGCTCCCCTGGCCTGCAGACTGAGCTAGCTCTCAGGGCAAGCACCCAGCCCTGAGGCCCAGCGTCCCCTGGGTCCCAGAGGGAAAGGACTGGGGCAAAGGGTCCACATCACCTCCAGGGGGATATAAAGGGCGCTGAGCATCCAGGGAGAAAGGGACAATCAACAAGAAATACCGCTGAGTGGCAGCTTTGTGTGGATGGTAAGAATGTGGGGTCTGGGTTCAAGTTCTCACTCTCTGATGACCGTGGGCTCTAAGTTTCTCAGGACCCCCATCTGTATACTGGGGGTAACCACAGCGTCTACACCAGGAGACTAGACGGTTATTCCCAGCCCGTCACTCCCTCCCTTTATCGACGTGTCTGTCCCTTCCTGTGCCATGTGACTGCCCAGCTCAGCCATGTGGGGTCTGTCTGTGTGGCTTGCTTGCTCCATGCATGGAAGCTGAGGACGCTCCTGCAGGGCCCGGCTTGTGCTCTGAGTGTCTGCAGTGAGAACGCATTCTGGGCACTACTGGCCACAGAATGAGGAGGGCCAGTCGAGGGGCCAAGACCACCCGGAAGCCCGTCACCAGCCAGACCAGCCCCTCCGTGATAAGCGATTCTCTTAAACCCACCTCCGTACTGGGTGTGCTCCATCTCCTCTGCCCGCCCAAGGAGCAGAGTCCACAGCTCGTTACACGGGGTCTTTATTTACAATGCAAAAAAGAACTTACAAGTCACTTTCTGGACAGTTTCGATGCCTTTAAGACAACTTTTAAAAAACGTAGCCAGTCCTGTGCAAGAAGTCCTTTGTGTGTGCACCTCCAGGGTGCCTGTCTGCATGGCCCCGCGCACTGGGGGTCCGGTCTGGCCAGAAGGGAGCCTCTCCTGGACGGCACCCGTCACCAGGCCGGGGGTCGGCAAGAACGTGGAGGCGTCGGAGGGCCGGTCCACCCCACGGGGCCTCGGAAGTGTTGCTCTGGAACCGGGCGGGGCTGACGGCTTGCTCCTCTCCCCACGCCTCTGGTCCAGTGCTGGAACCGCCGCGTCCTCCCAGCCAGTGTCCTCAGCAGAGCATCCCAGGGCTCCGGACACGCGGAGAGGGGGATGGCCAAAGCAGGAGTCGGGGCAGGCGAACCCCTGACCTGTGCCGCCGCCTCAGGCCTCAGGGTCAATTTCTCCATCCTCCAGGCACGACCCTGACTCGTCCAGCCAGACTAGGAGACAGAAGGGGGAGTCCACATCCAGATGAGCCCCCCCACACACCAGGCCCCTTTCCCCAGGAGCTCCAGGGCCGGTGCCTCAGGGCACATTGTTTCATCATATCCCCCCAAGCTCTGAGCACGCAGGCCGGTGGTGTCAGCCAATTCGGAGAGAGAACTCCAGTGACATAGGTCTCACAGGCTCTCCCTATCTCCTCTGGCCACCCCAAGCCCCGAGCTCCCCTAGACCTCAGGCTGAGGCCCCTGGGATTGCACCCCCCCACACACAGCCCCCATGGCTCAGCCACTTCTGAGCACCGACCTGGAGATGCCTGCATGCCCAAGGCTTGGTGAGTCAACACACACACCCTCCAGTTCCAGGTGGGAAACTGAGGCCCCGAGAGGGGATGTGCGCCCCAGTTAGCAGGGTGGACAGGGCAGGGCGGGGTTCTCGCCCATCCTTTGCTGTGGGGTATCTGGCAGCGCCGGGAGCCCGCAGCCCCGCTGGAAGTGCCGCCCAGGCCTGCCAGGCTGTCCCCCTGCCCTAAACGTCATTGGTGAGGAGAACGGCCACACGGGCACCGTGCAGGCTGTGGGCTCAGGCCCCTGGCCTTCCTCGTCACCAACTCTCAGGGCCTCCGAGGCATGACCATGCTCTGTGACACGGGGGCCTGAGGCCTCGTTCCCACATCAGGGTTTTGTGACTCCAAGGGCTCCACCCTTCCTCTTGCAGCTCCCTCTCTAAATGGGGAAAGGCAGAGGTCAGGCCTCACCTCTGCCACCAGACAGGACGCTTGGGGCCCCCTGTGCAGTGCCTCTGCACTGGGACCCCGTGGGCGCTCAGGGCTCTGGGCCTGCACCCCACAGACCTTGAGGAGGAACCGTCAGTTTCCCCTGTGCTCACACCAGCCCTGGGAGGCAGGGAAGGCGGTCACGATCCCATCTTACAGATGAGGCCACTGAGGCTCAGAGAGGGAAGTGGGTGTCATGGCAGGGCCTGGGCCTCGGTCACCCACGGCAAGCTCTCTGATTAGACACAGAGGCAGAAACCCAGCTCTTCTCTCACTTTGCTGTGTGCCCTTGGGGAGTCACTGTCCCTCTCTGGGCCTCAGTTTTCCCAACTATAAATTAGAGATAAGGGTGGTATTCACAGCCCAGAGGGTTGGAGAATTCAGTTAAGATTTGTGAAAAGCATTTAGCCCAGTGCCAAGCACCTGAGAAGGTGGCCATCATTACTGCGCCTGACCCAGTCCTACTACCAGCGCGCGGGCTGGCCCCAGCCCGATGGGCGCTCCAGGTCACTCCCCCTGGTGGGCAAGCGGACACCCAGACTGAGAACTTCTGGAGAAGTCTACCTGAGTCCCCCCCAACTCTCTCATGAGCTCCTCCTCCGCCTTTGTGCCTGTGTCCCCCGGGCGAGCCAGGCGCTCGCTGTGGCCCAAGACGGTAGCCCCTGAGAAGGCGTCAAGTCGGGGCGTGCAGAGCACAAGCTCCAGATCTCACGGCCTGGGTCTGAGCCCCAACTCTGACATATCAGCTGTATGGCGAGTGTGTCAACCTCTCAGAACCTCAGTTTACCCACCTGTAGAATGGGGATGATGAAAACTGGACCTAACTTAGAGTTACTATGAGGCCTCAAGGAAAAACCACCACCATCATCACTTATGATGACTGTTCACAACAGCAGCCTCTGCACCAAGCAACAGGTCTGACTCAATAAACCTGTTCATGAATAAATGACCTCCCCCCACCAGCTCCAGTGGTATTCACAGAGGTATGGGGGTTGCGGGGCAGGGGACAGTAGTTTGCACCCCTTCCTCTCACCGTCTCTCTGGGAACCACCCCATCCCCTCTCTGCTCCTTGCGGTGAGCTATGTCTGGAAGGCCCAGAGATCAGCCCCAGCCTGGGTGGGAGGGGGAAGTTTCCAACCCCGTCTTGTCCACTGAACCGCAAGACGGAGCCCCAGTTTCTCAGCCACAGGGGCAGGCACCTCTGTCTACCACCTTGGCAGGCCCACGCGGCCCCATCCATGACTCACCCAGCTGCCGGCAGGGGCTATGGAGCTAATTATGTCAAACACCACAACTTGCTGAGGCTGGTGCCAGGGACACGGGCCCATGGTGGAGAGTGTGCAGACCCAAGTGTAAGTTTTTAATAAAGCGCAGGAGCAGACCACCCACCCCGCCAGCCCAGAAGGACACCCCCCAGGCCCCCCCAGCCTGACAGCAGCGGCCTCACCTGCCCTCCGGGGGTCCCTGGGCAGGGCCACGCCCGTGGGGGTCGGCGGTGTGATGATGATGTTGGGGACGTCCAGGTGCTTGTTGCTCAGCACGGGGGCCTCATCGTGGCTGCCACTGCTGCTGACACACATTTTTAAGCCTGAGAGGGCAGGCCGTGGGACACACACGTACACACATGACAGAGAGACAGGGGTCAGTGGCCGCTGGGGACTGCCCGCCGCCCTTCTCCGTCGCCGTGGGTCCCCGTGACGCGGGACCCAGGGGACCACTCTGCATGCCCATGTCAGGACCCGTCCGAGCTGGCGCCACTTGGCCAGGGTATGAGTTTTCTCTGCTCATGTTAACGTTGGGGGGTGTAGCACACAGTAGGTACTCAAGACACAACTCCGAGTGGAGGAAAGTCACAGGCTTGGCTTGCCTGCATGAGGCAGCGCCGCACATGAAGTTACGTCCCCCACAGATTATCTTCTGAGAGAGTCAGTGCTGTTTCTTCCTTAAGCGTTGGGCTGAATTCACTGGAGAAACTGTCTGGGCCTGGAACTGTCTTTGTGCAAAAACTTTTGATTACAAATTGGGGTTCTTTCGTAAAAGGTGGCGCTATTCAGATTTTGTTTCCTTTTGTCCTTTTGGGTAAGTTACATTTATCAAGGCATCTCTTTCTTCTAAATTGTTGCAATCCTTGTCTTCTTTCTCCCATAAACTCAGGCAATCCGGCCCAGTCTTCATGTCCAGCTGACATGAAAGTGCTCTTGCCAGATCCCAACCTCATTCTTCCTGTCTTGAGTCAAGGCCATCAACCCTGTGCCAATAACCAGGGCCTCAGCAGCAGTCCCCCTTACCCCCATCTCCTCGCCCTCCAACCCTCCGGCCAATTTAACCAACCACAGACACATCACTTTGCCAACAAAGTCTGTCTAGCCAAAGCTACGGTTTCTCCAGTAGTCCTGTATGGATGTGAGTTGGACCATAAAGAAGGCTGAGTGCCAAAGAATTGATGCTTTTGTGGTGCTGGAGAAGATTCTTAAGAGTCCCTTGGACTGCAAGAAGATCAAACCAGTCAATTCTAAAGGAAATCAACCCTGAATATTCATTGGAAGGATTGATGCTGAAGCTGAAGCTCCAATATTTTGGCCATCTGATGCATAGGGCCAACTCATTGGAAAAGACTCTGATGCTGGAAGAGATTGAAAGCAAAGGATAAGAGGGCGACAGAGGATGAGATGGTTAGATGGCATCACCGACTCAATAGGCAAGAGTTTGAGCAAACTCTGGGAGACAGTGAAGGATAGGGAAGCCTGGCGTGCTGCAGTCCATGGCTGCAAAGAGTTGGACACGACTGAGTGACTGAACAACAAAAGAGTCCATAGATCCACTCACCTCATATCTGTGACAGTCTTCCTCCCCCTCCTCATGCTCCTAGCGAGCCTCTCCACCTTCTGCTGATCCCTTATCAGCCCACCCTCCAAACAATAGCCAGAAACTGCAAAGCTGATCACACCCAAACACTCACTAGCTCTCAGCAACTAGCTACAAACAGCATTTCCCAAAGGGTGTTCCCTGGAACACTGCCTCCACAGACTCCCTCAGGAGGGAGGGCCCACGATCCAGTGAGTCTGGGGATCCCGTCTACTCTATCCTTCTCGTGGAGACCCCATGCCTGTTGGAGCAGTAAAGGCTCTGAGAAGTCCTGCACTAAGGAAGCTGCTGTCACTGTGCTTCACCCCGGGGTTTCTGAACTTAAATAACCCTGGATTCTGTTTTTGGAGGGACACCTGTTAACATCTCACAAAACCATGAGTCATGAAATACCTTCTGGGAAAGACAGATCGTAAGTTAAAGTCAGCCTCCACAGTCTGCCTCAAGCTTGTTCTGAAGCCTGCCACCTGGACTTCCCTGGTAGCTCAGCTCATAAAGATTCCACCTGCAATGTGGGAGACCTGGGTTCGATCCCTGGATTGAGGAGATCCCCTGGAGAAGGGAATGGCTACCCACTCCAGTATTCTGGCCTAGAGAATTCCATGGACTGTATAGTCCAGTTCACTTCAGTTGCTCAGTCATGTCTGACTCTTTCTGACCCCATGGACTGCAGCACACCAGGCTTCCCTGTCCATCACCAACTCAAACTCATGTCCATCGAGTCAGTGATGCCATCCAACCATCTCATCCCTCTATCGTCCCCTTCTCCTCCCGCCTTCACTCTTTCCCAGCATCAGGGTCTTTTCCAATGAGTCAGTTCTTCGTATCAGGGGGCCAAAGTATTGGAGTTTCAGCTTCAGCATCAGTCCTTCCAATGAATATTCAGGACTGATCTCCTTTAGGATGGACTGGTTGGATCTCCTTGCAGTCCAAGGGACTCCCAAGAGTCTTCTCCAACACCACAGTTCAAAAGCATCAATTCTTCAGTGCTCAGCTTTCTTTATAGTCCAGCTCTCACATACATACATGACTACTGGAGAAACCATAGCTTTGATTAGATGGACCTTTGTTGGCAAAGTAATGTCTCTGTTTTTTAATATGCTGTCTAGGTTGGTCATAGCTGTAGAGTCCACGGCGTCACAAAGAGTTGGACATGACTGAGCGACTTTCACTTTCACTTTCCCTGCCACCTACCCACACTCCTTGAACTGCTCACAGTTCCCCAAACACCCTGGGCTCCCCAGCCCTTTTGCACCTTCACACAGGCAGTTCCTCCTGCCTGGAGTCCTCTCTGTTGCTTTGGCAGGGTGGTGAGCTCCTACTGATCCTTCAAACCCCAGCATAACAGGCTCTTCTATGGGGAAGCTGTCCCAGGTATCTGACCCCCGCTCCTTCAGTCCTTTGATGCCAGTCTCGAAACGATCAGCCCCGTCTGCCTTTACCGTGAGCGTGTGAAGGACAGCCCCTACTTGCTGACCAGTGCTTTCTTAGAACCTAGCATCCGCCCTGGGACAGAGCACATAAGGGTGCTTTCAATTTTAAATCAAAAACAACTTCAGGCACCGCTGAACCCAGTATTCAAATCTTTGTCTCCATGCCCTGCCCCAGACCGGACTGCGTTAGCTCAGGTATCCGAGCCCCCAGCCAACAGCAGGAGCTGAGCAGTGGGGTGGGCTTCCCTGACCCCCACCAGGACCATGCTCCTTAATCACCCCTGTCCAGTCAGCGTGGCAGTTCTCAATGACGTCCCTGACAGGTGGTGTCTGATTCCCCTCCTCTCCAGTAAGGAGTGGACCCTAGGGTGGATTCCAACACAGAAACGAAGACAGAAGGGATGGTGTGTGATTTCCATGGCAAGGTCATGCAGGACACCGCTCTTGCCTGCTCTCGCTCTGGGGGAGCCAGCTGCCACGTGTGAGGATGCTCAAACGGCCTGAGGGGGAGCCCAGCTGCGGGGCCAACGGCACGGGAGGAAGCCACCTAGGGCTGGGGTCCTCCAGCCCGGGCAAGACTTCAGATGAGACCAAGGCTCAGCCTACAGCTTGACCATAACCTCTGAGAACCTCTGTGACACGACCTCTCAGCTAAACTGTCCCCAAATCTCCGACCCACAGAAACTGTGAGATAATAAATCCTTAAGTCACTAGGTTTGGGGGTCATTTGTTATGCAGCAGTAGATAACTGATACAGGAGTCAGCACAGGTTGCCTATCCTTGAAACTCCAATCCTGTTTCCTTCCTGGGAAGTCCCTGTGGGGCCCCCCAAATCTACCAGGCTGGTTAGTTTTGTAGAAAGGGGCCACATCCCCTCCATCAGATGATAAACCCCTAAGGAGCACCCACCAAGGCTGCTGCCAACCTTCTTTAAAACTTTAGAGCTGTTTCTTCCTGCCATCTTATGCAGAAGCCCAGAATGTAAGACAGATACGAAGAAGCCACTTAGAGGAAGCCCTCCTGTTATCACTGCAGCAGTTGGCATTTAGGGATCATCTGCCACATGCCAGACACTTCCTCCTACAGTCCTCAAGGCCACACTGGGAGGGGTGAGCTCGGATGTGAGACTGAGGACCACAGATGGTAAGAGCTTGCACAGTGATGAACAGCTAGTGGGTGGCAGGGGCAGGATCTGAACCCAGACCTGAGTCAGTCTGATTCCAAAAGCTGCTGCTCCTTGTAACTATGATCTTGTAACAGAGCCAGGAAAACTATCTGAAAAGGACCTGACGGTAAATATGTTTTACTTTGGGGGCGACAAAGTCTCTGTTGCAACTTCTCAGGTTTGCCATTGAATACAAGTGCAGCCTCAGACAATATGTAAATGAGTGGGTGGGCTGTGTGCCAAAACACTTTTATTTAGAAAAACACGAAGGGCAGTCAGCTTTGGTCCAAGGGCTGTGGTTTACCTCTGTCAGCTCTGTAATATCCAGGAATTGGGAAGTTTGGATCAGGGACATGCCTGACATCCTAACAGGCAACAACAGAACCTCAAAAGCCTGAGGCTCATTAATGCCAAAACCCAAACCCAAATCCCAAATCTGGCTGCTGCTGGGAAGTGACAGGTGGTGGGCGTGAGAAAATGAACAGAATGAATGAATTCCTCGGAAGCCCTTGCCCAGTTAGCCGGGGCCAAGGGGATGCTGGTCCCTGCTAGCTTCCTCCAGAATCATCCCCAAAGGGTGTCTCAGGGAGCATGGCCACAGAATCAGCTCTGATTACTGCTGTCTATAACTGAAGGCAGCCTCCCTGCTCAGTCTCCAAGGCCCCTTCCTCAGTGAGTATTCCAAAGTTCTAAAAGAAAATGCTAATGGAGGAAACCCACACTCCTCCCAGGGCCCACATCTGCATTTGAACATGTTCTGGGAGCATGGTGACAAAGCCCACATTCTTAATCAGGAAGCGGGTCACTCTTGGTGGAGAGATGCTGGAGGCAGAGAGGAGGGATGGGAGGAGGGGGAGGGAGGAGGGAAGGGGAGGAGAGGAGGGAGGAAGAAGAAAGGCAAACTAGATGAGAGTGGAGTGAGGATGGAGGAGAGGAGGAGGGTGGTAGGAGAGAGAGAGGAGGGAGGGAAAAGTGAGAGGAGGGAGGAGGCGGTGGGAGAGGAGGGCAAGGAAGGAGGGGGCCAGGACTCCAGCCCCTCTCAGCCCTCAGGGCCGCCCAGAGCATGAGTGGCTGAGCTCTCGGGAGCAGCTCTGGGGAGATAAAGCCGACTTTGGGGATTAAACA